CCCCCCCCCCCCCCCCCCCCCCCCCGTTACTGTTTAGACCTTCGCCCTCTCGCCCTTATTACAGCCGTACCTGCTTTATCTCTCATTCACATCTGTGTGTTTTCAGAGCTTTGTTGAGGATCTTTTTCCCCTCCGGCTGACCATTTTGTGTCACCTCGTTACCTCACAGAAAGAATGTCCTTTGGTTGAAAAGGAGGTATAGCAAAGCAGAGAAGATAGTTGGCAGAAAATGGTTTTGGAACAGTCACTTCTCCTCTCTGCTCTGCACCTCCACAGCACTCACTCTCCCAGGCACACTCACACACACACACACACACACACACACCCCCACACACTCAGATTTTAAGTGGGTAAGGCATATGATCCAAACTAAAGTCAACAAAAGCCAGAGTAGGAGACTGGAACCCACGGCAGTGATTTCCCGCTCTTACTCTCCAAAGACTTATCTCCTTCCCACAGTTCTGCTCACAGCGCTGTAGATGTGGTTTAGGCTGGAACCACAATGATAAGAGTTTCTTTGTGTGTATGTTTTCGTATGTGCCATGTCTGTGTGTGTGTGTGTGTGTGTGTGTGTCTCCGGGGCACCTTGAGCCTAGGGCAAGTTCACATGATGGCACAGAGAGGTCTGAAGTTCAGTTAAAGGGATAAATTATTAGTTAGTTAGTAGTTAGTTTTTGATGTTGGGTTGTTTGAGGTTCTCATCCATAGTCGGTGTATTAACCACTTTCTTCAGTTCGCCATCAGAAAAGGCTGCCTGGCAATACATTTTGCTGCTGCCCTCGTCCACAGCAGTACATTACTACCTCATGCAACCCGACCTAAAAAAGATCCAAACTATCCCTCCAATCACACCAGGTTCAGTATTTGGATGGTGGACATGTAGTAGTTCTCTTGAGTGCATGTTTCAATCAATTGTTTAATTTGTGAAAAATGGTGCGCACAATAGAGAGCTGACGGTTGCTTGTTGTGTTCGACCGACAGCCCCAAAACCCCCCAAAAAACAAACAAAGGACCCCGTAAAAACCTACAAACATGCGGATGAGCACCAGGCTGCTTGGAGTTCTAGAGACGCAAACCCTGCTCTCAGAAAGAGGAAGCCTTACAAACCAGTGGGGAATGTAGCAACCAGACCATAAACCCACACACAGTGAGGTGACAAGTGGCTCTCTGTCACACAGCGACGATGACACCGTGGGGTCAAAAGCACCTCAGTTTTGTCATACGGCCACACGTTCTCCTTACATGCACCGTGATGTAAAGG